TATAGGTTGAACAAACAGTAAGTACATGAAGGTTAATTTTCACACTAATTTAGCTCGAAGGGCTAGTGTAAACTTTTGATATCACTTGGCATCCGTCGTCTGTCGTCTTCCGTCGTCTAGTAACTTTTACAAAGATCATCTCTTCTGAAACTACTGGACCAAATTTAACTAAACTTGGACATAATCGTCAATGGGGCATCTAGTTAACAAAATGTGTCCGATGACAAACATGGCCAACATGGCTAAAAATAGAATATTTAGGTAAAATGCTATTTTTGTCTACTATCTTGAAAATCGCTATAGAAAAAAATTGACTATGCAAAAACGTCCATAATGATGAGATCTACATAATGTGTTTTCACATCAAAACTATTAGACGACATTGCCCTAGCTTAAACGACGAATTTTACCTTTTTTTGTATTTTTGCCTATTATCCCGAAAATTATAAGAGATTGACAGGAACTTTAAATAGCAAAACTGATCGGCAAGACAAGATGTACAAATAAGTCTAATGCTCGAAATCGTCAGTCAACACCTTATTTACGTTACTGCCCTTAAATGACGATTTTTTTCCCCACTTTTTTGGCATTTTGCCGATTATCAAGAAAACTATAATAGATAGATAGAAACTTAAACTAGTAAAAATGATCAGCAAGACATATCTACAAATAAGCTTATATGACCCAAATCTTAAGTCGACTAGTTATTGGAGTTATTGTCGTTTGATTATAGTTTTTAGTTTTTTTTTTGCGTGTTTGCATTTTATCTTGAAAACTATAATAGATAAATAGAAACTTTAAAAAGGACAATACTCAGCAGGATAAGATTTACAAATACTTCTACATAACTGAAATGTTCAGTTAACTTTTAATAGAGTTATTCCCTTTTAATGATGAATTTTACTAAAAAGTGGCTATTGTTGAAGATGCAGGTGAGCGACACAGGCTCTTTAATGTCTTTAGTTTTCATATCTTATTGTTTTTTTAAATGGGATTATTGTTTGTATGACGTAAAGAACAATGATTAGAAAATTAAAACCAAACTGAATGTTATTGTAATGTACATATGATATGCCCTTTCAAGGTTCTACCATCTGTCGCTACATGTATCTTGGCGTTGCATAAGTTCATGTTTGTTCTGAGAGTAAATGACGTCTTTACACTAAATCCATTGGATGTTGGATGTGTACTGATTGATATTTTAGTCTTAGATACTAGATTCTTTATTAGTTTTTATAGGCTTTGAACTAGCTGTCAGTAACTGCGAGTACTCTCAGATCTGTACTTAGTGTCTTTTTTGTTGTGGGATGTATAAATTCCCTGCCACGTCCTGTCTGTGTTTTTGTTAATTGTTTTTCTGCATTGTATCTAACTGATGAGTTAAGCCATTTTCAACTGATTTTAATAGTTTGTTCTTATGGTGAACTGTTACACCATTTCCCAGGTTATGAAGAGGATTTGGCGCCAGCAAACTAGTTTAACTCCGTCGCATTCTGTATGTGTCTGTCACAAGTCAGGAGCCTGTAAATTAGTGGCTGTTGTTTGTTGCTGTATATCATTTTTTTTTCATTGTCTTGTACATAAATCAGGCCGTTAGTTTTCTCGTTTGATTTGTGTTGAATTTGTTATTTCGGGGTCTTTTTATAGCTGACTATGCGGTATGGCTTTTGCTTATTTACGTTAAGGCCTGCTATCTTTGGTGAGGTATTTTTAATACAAATTAAGGAGTATGGCCACAAAGGACTTGAATTGGCCCTAAAAATCAAACTTTGTCATACCATAAGTAAAAACCTAAACAAAATACCACACACTGAGCAATCCAAACATAGAGAGATACAAACCCACCAAAAACACCAAAAACAGGCAATGAACTCATGTGTTCCGGAATGAGTAAAAAAGAGGCTAGAGATAACAGAAGTGACATTCAAACTCATAAGTTGCAAATAAACTGACGATGCCATTGCAAAAAAAAGAGAAAAAGAACAAAAGTCAAACAACAGTACACAAAACACAACATAGAAAACTATAGACTGAGAAACATGAACCCCACCAAAAACCGGGGTTTCTTTAAGAGTCTGTTTTTCTTTGCACACAGTTAAGGCATCTCTCCAATGTACACTCATCTTCGCTAGCCAAGGGTTACGATCCAGTCCCGTAGGATTGGATCGTAACTCTTGGCTAGCGAAGATGATGTACACTACGCTCCCAACCAAATAAACTGATCAAAAATAAAATTTCTTTTTTTGATAAATTGATCTTTTGATATAATATTTGGATATCTGGTGTGGTCATCTCAGTTCCCTTTTAGCTATTTATAACATATACCAGATACAGCAGTTCAACTTTAAAGAAATGATTTAAGCCATTAGCACTTTGTTGGGCATATTTATTGTCTTCTGGATCTAGATTATTTCGTCAGGTGATTGCTTTCCGATGGAAAATACCCATGTCATCATTATCCCAGATTTGTTATACTTTTATGTTATGAATCTCATGGTCTTTAATTCTGTATGCATTTAAACCGGTTCTTACTAGTTTCATTTTTGATACATATACTGATAAAGGTTATTAAGATTATAATATACTGTTCCAAGTGAAAAATCCTGAAAGTGATTGTCTATAGATTCTTACTTCAAGGAATCTAACGTTACTGGCAGCAACTTGATAGCAAATGTCTAGAATTGGTGTAGTGCTTGACAAATTGTGAAAACCGAAATGTTGCTAGTGTATGTGCTATTTTCAACATCTCCGATCAATATTATGGGATATTTTACCAGTCAATCAAAATAAACCAACACGGATTTCTGTTTCATAAAATGATGAACATTGAGGTTTCCAATTAATATGTTAACGGCAAATTAGAAAAAAGTAAAACAAAAAATAAAATGATTGTTCTCTTGGTTGTATTTTAGTCTTGTTTGTGAACATGCCAGACGTGGAAAGTTTTCTATTGAGGTGAAACAGTTCCAGGGATAGCTCCATTCCTATTGTTTAATTTTAACTAGATTTCCGTTTATAAATTACACTATAACTTAGAATGCTTTTGTTTTGAAATATCACATTAAAAATAATCAAATTTGAAGGTCGTAATATGCATAGAAGATATGTTCCGAACCAAAAAGCAGTTTTACATGGTTATCATTATTATTTTTTCCTTACGAAACACAATATGTCGACTTAGAAATATAATTTCAAGAAATATCTAAATGAACAGTTATAAACAAGAAGTAAACTGTTTTACTCACAGGCAATTGGGGCATTGAACCTTCTTTTTACTTTTTTCTTTTTTCATTTTATTTTGGTATCTAAATTTGTTTTTAATAACTTCAACTTTCTTAAACATTTCAATTTTTTTAAGTTGTTTGATTTGTTCTGCCTCCTATTCATACGATCTAACAATAGCAGTGGCAGTAGATGATACGTGTTGTTTCTCTACTCTTATAAGAGTACAAGGGATATAAGAAATAAGGTGTATTGCATGCGTATTTCTTACTGTTATTGTAAGATCATATAAATAGGAACAAGAACACAACAGTTGATTGAAAATAAGTTCAAATTAGAAGAAATTAAAAGAAAAAATGATCTGAAAATAGGAGAAAAGATCAATGCCCCAAACGCGTTTGATTTCACTTGTAGTCGTAAAGGTAACACGATAAAGGTGCTTTAAATCTATAACAGAGGCAAGATAACATATACACCAAGGTTAAGACCAGTGGCGGATCCAAGGGAGGGGGGTCCGGGGGTTGGAACCCCCTTTTTTTGACAATCAATGCGGGTCCGGAACTGATACATATTTCTAGAAAGTGGCAAATAAGTCCCAAAATTTTATGAACTAAATACGTAGAAAATTTAATAAGGAAAATGCAAGAATTTTTTGTAAACAAGAGTAGAGGTGGGTACTAAATAATTACTCCAATACTATGATTCCCTTTAAAACTTATAAAAAAGAATGAATAAGGATTGTTGTTTTGACATTACCCCCAACAATACAGTACAGAAAAATTGATACACAATTTTTGATATATTTTTTTAGACTCTTAGGATAATTTTACGCTTTTTTTTTCAACTTCGACTTGAATTAACGAAAATCGACCAACCCTTTTTGATCTATGGCATTTTGACGTTAAGTTATGCTGTTTTTTTAGATTTGACAAATCATTTTTTTTTTATAAATTTTGAATGGGGTTTTAAGGCAAGTTGGTCAACCATCTATCCTTTAATAGAACATCAAATGGGAGCTATAGTTAATTTTTATAGGTGTATTTTTTCATGAGGGGCCGGTATTTGCAAAATAAATGTTTAAAGTGACTTATAGGTCCAAAGGGCCTGGTGTTGATACATGTAATTACAACCGCTTATTGATATATTGTTTAATATTATAAAACACATGCCACTATAATAAACAATCTGGTATTGGTATTGGTATTATATACGGTTACCAGTCGAGAGAGAGTAAGATTTCCTCATTCGCTAGGCGAAGCAAATCCCTTCTTTAGACTGGCATTGTTTGCAAATGCCCCTTCTAAATTAATAACACCGAATAGGGTATCAGTGGCGGATTTAGGGGTTGTGTAGAGCTAGGTTGTACGCCTACCCCCTTTAACTGGAAAATATATTTTTTTAGCATAAACTTCGTCCCAAAAAAATTTCAATTGGCAATGTATGTTAAATTTTCTGAAAATACACACCCCCTTTAAAATTCATGGATCCGCCCCTGTGTATGATTTTTTTCAAGCACAGTATGATTTTAAATGTCTTCAGAAAAAGAAAAAAAATTTCAGAGGGGAAGTAACATCGTTGTCTTGCCATGATATCAAATTTAGATAATCTTTTACTATATTGTATTTTAAGAATAAAGAACGACGACCCATGATTTCTTTTTATTTTCTGAATATTTTTTTTGATATTGTGGGCACTTTCCTATATGTTGCTATATTCTTTGGCCCACTGGTTATTAGCTTTATTGATTTTCATGGTCCATCGCATCAGCATTCGGTAAGCTTCGGCTGATTCCGGTACCCGACGATCCAGTTTTGCAGAGAAGCCGGCATGGCCTCAGAAACAGAAAAGGCACAAACTGCACAACCAGGAGGAGATACAATATTTGGGAAAATTATTAGGGGTGAAATACCAACTAAATTTATCTATGAGGATGAGCAGGTAAACCAAAACACTAACATGACTAGATGACAACATACGCGCAAAATACAGTCTACTTTCGGTTTCTCTGTACGTTTCTAAAACATTCTAAAATGGTGGGTTGAACCTGGTTTTCGCACAATAACTTTAGATTAAGTGAATGGATTTCTATGAAATTTTACCATAAGGTTCAATGCCACAAAAAGAAGGTTGGGATTGATTTTGGGGGTTATGGTACCAACAGTTAAGGAATTAGGGGCCAAAAATAAGCATTTTTGTAACTTCCAGACTATAACTTGTGTGTTAGTGTATGTATGTATGTACTTCGAGATTCAGCCAGCGTAGACGCACCCCTTTATTGACTGCAAGGGTACAGCGGATCCATGTACACTCCCTAAGGATTAATGGAGATGTGTCCTTTACAATATTAACCCACCACCAGAACAATCCCCACCCCAACACCGCCCAAGGGAGCATGTAGGACACCGGGGAGTCTGTTATTATGGTGGAGGAAGCCAAGGTACTCGGAGAGAACCACCGGGCTTCTCGGTGGGAACCGACAACCCAAGAGATTTCAGAAGATTGATCTCCAGGTCAAGCTGGGAACAAATTGACCTACCGAGGCCCCGAAGTATCCAATCTAGTTTAAACTCCGGTCTGGATACCAGAGATGTGTGTGGGAGGTTGAAAATCACCCTACTGATGTACTGAAAATTCGACGTCTCGAGTGAGAATCGAACTCGGGACCTTCAGCACTGTAGCCATCAGTCTTAACCACTAGACCACGAACCCACATAGATCTCTCTGACATTGTACCACAAGGTTCCATATCACAAAGGGAATGCTGGGATTGATTTGGGGGGTAATTACCTCAAAATTTTAGGAATTAGGGACCAAAAAAGGGGCAAAATACCAGCATTTTTCTAGTTTCATGACAATAACTTGTGTGTAAGTGTATGGATCTTTCTGAAATTGTACTACAAGATGGAATTGAGTTTGGGGGTAATTACAATGTACCCAAAAAGTTTAGGAATAAGGGGCCAAAAATAAGCATTTTTCTAGTTTCTAGACAATAACTTGTGTTCAAGTGTATGAATCTCTCTGAAGTTGTACTGCAAGGTACCATACCTCAAAGTGAAGGCTGGGATGGATGTTGGGGTAATTGCCTCAAAATTTTAGGAATTAGGGGCCAAAAAGGGGCAAAAAACAAGCATTTTTCTAGTTTCAGGACAATAACTTGTGTGTAAGTGTATGGATCTTTATGAAATTGTACTACAAGGTTCCATATCACAAAGGGAAAGCTGGGTTTGAGTTTGGGGGTAATTGCTCTAAACGTTTAGGAATTTGGGGCCGAAAAACAAGCATTTTTTCTAGTTTCCAGACAATAACTTGTGTTCAAGTGTATGGATCTCTCTGAAATTGTACTGCAAGGTACTATACCACAAATGGAAGGCTGGGATTGAGTTTGGGGGTGATGAATCATAAGGGGGTTCAAAAATTTGGGGGGGGGGGGGGGGAGGGAGAGGTGAAATTTAGGGGTTGAGGGGGTAAAAAAGAAATTGTGGGGCCAATTTTTTTTTTCATTTCAGTTTCAGAAAATAAAAAGAAAATTTCTTCAAATATTATTTATTTTTTGCCAAAAAAAGGGGGGGTGAATTTGGTTTTTTTTTTTTGGGGGGGGGGGGTTCATTTTTGCAACAGCATAGTGTATTGCACAAAAGCAAAAAATTGAATATAAATTCAAATCATATAACCAATTCTAAGTTCTTTGACTACAGTTACTTGGTGTCAGAAACCTTTTATGTGTCAAATATTTATTTACAATCCAAATTCAGACCTGCATCAAGCGCGAATATTGTGTCCATTTTTGCCCCAACTGTTCAGGGTTGGACCTCTGCGGTTGTATCCAGCTGCGCTCAGCGAAGCATTTTATTTGTATTTCTTCGAGTAATTTAACCAAAATGATTAAGTCGACATATTCTGCTGCTCTATGATGACAACATTATCTTCTGAGAATCAATTCCGAGAATAGAGATTGATTACGAGAAGGGCATAAAATATTCGGGTTACGAGTAATAGGCGGTGTCTTAGAATGCAAATCGCAGTATGTCACAAAATTCAGTGATTAGAAAACTGTGGATTTTTTTATTTATACAATGACTTCTTGTCAGGAAATTTGACTGTGAATGATATCCAAAGTGCAAGAATCATGGAACACAGTGGTACAAAAACACGAATCGAATAAATAAATTGACACAAGCGGGAACTTGTGGGATTTATGACGGTATTATTAATTAAAAAGGTCGGCCAACTAACAAAATGTATTATAGCAAGTCCTTAGATGTACAACATGGCTGTCCTTTTTAGCTCACCAGGGCCCAAAGGGCCCCATGTGAGCTTATGCCATCACTTGGCGTCCGTCGTCGTCGTCTGTCGTAGTAAACTATTTCAAAAATCTTCTCCTCTGAAACTACTGGCCCAATACCTTCAAACTTTAAAGAAATGTTCCTTAGGGTATGTAGTTTATAAATTGTATCCGAAGTTTTGATCCATCGTCAAACATGGCCGCCATGGCTAAAAATAGAACATAGGGGTCAAATGCAGTTTTTGGTTTATATCTTTATATCTCAAAAACTAAAGCTTTTAGAGCAAATCTGACATGGGGTTAAATTGTTCAATTGGTCAACATCTATCAGCTCTGAAATTTTCAGACGAATCGAACAACCCATTGTTGGGTTGCTGCCACCGAATTGGTAGTTTTAACAAAATTTTGCAGTTTTTGGTTATTATTTTGAATATTATTATAGATATATATAAACTGTAAGCAGCAATAATGTTCAGCAAAGTAAGATCTACAAAAAAGTTAATATGACCAAAATTGTCAATTGACCCCTTAAGGAGTTATTGCCCTTTAAAGACAATTATACACAATTTGTTCATCAAGTTTGCTAACATTTAAAAATCTTCCCCTCTGAAACTACTGGGCCAATTACCTTCAAACTTTAACTAAATGTTCCTTAGGGTATCTTGTTTATAAATTGTATCCGAAGTTTGTATCCATTGACAAACATGGCCACCATGGCTAAAAATAGAACATAAGGGTCAAATGCAGTTTTTGGCTTATATCTCAAAAACTAAATCTTTTAGAGCAAATGTGACAGGTGTAAAATTGTTTAATTGGTCAAGATCTATTGGCTCTGAAATTTTCAGACGAATCGAACAACCCATTGTTGGGTTGCTGCCACCGAATTGGTAGTTTTAACAAAATTTTGCAGTTTTTTGTTATTATTTTGAATATTATTATAGATATATATAAACTGTAAGCAGCAATAATGTTCAGCTAAGTAAGATCTACAAAAAAGTTAAAATGACCATAATTGTCAATTGACACCTTAAGGAGTTATTGCTCTTTAAAGACAATTTTACACAATTTGTTCATCAAGTTTGCTAACATTTAAAAATCTTCTCCTCCGAAACTACTAGGCAAATTACCTTCAAACTTTAACTAAATGTTCCTTAGGGTATCTTGTTTATAAATTGTATCCCAAGTTTATATCCATCGACAAACATGGCCGCCATGGCTAAAACTGGAACATAAGGGTCAAATGCAGTTTTTGGCTTATACATGTTATATCTCAAAAACTAAATCTTTTAGAGCAAATCTGACAGGGGTAAAATTTTTTAATTGGTCAAGATCTATCGGCCCTGATATTATCAGACGAATTGAACAACCCATTGTTGGTATGCTGCCACAGAATTGGTAGTTTTAACAAAATTTTGCAGTTTTTTGTTATTATTTTGAATATTATTATAGATATATATAAACTGTAAGCAGCAATAATGTTCAGCAAAGTAAGATCTACAAAAAAGTTAATATGATCAAAATTGTCAATTGACCCCTTAAGGAGTTATTGCCCTTTAAAGACAATTTTACACAATTTGTTCATCAAGTTTGCTAACATTTAAAAATCTTCTCCTCTGAAATTCAGGTGTGCGATTCAGGCTCTTGAGAGTCTCTTGTTTGACAAACAGCAAACACCTTCTGTCCCCAGTCCCTCAATAGAGTCATTAAACAATTTCTTTTTGGTTAAGTCCTTGTTTTACATTGTAATTATATTTGCACCTTGCATAATAATCTGAAAAGCACCAACCCTAGTATTTTCATCACAGTTTGAGTTTTCATTTCACTCTGTTCTCATAATACTTGTGTTGCATACCAATGCATATGCTTCATTTTATGGGCACTACAAACCATAGCTTATAAATCAATATAAATTTGATGTAGGTAGTCTAAAAGAGAGCATTTCTCCACGTTTTTGCCAAATACCAAATAAAGGTTTCTAAAGCGGCAATTACATGTAGAACAGTGGTTGCCAATCAAAAATATGTATTTAAGAATCTGAAAGATTATGTAGAACATTATATATACATGATAAAAGCTAATTATTACCCTACCTTGCATATGAAGAACAAGCCACAAAAGGGTTTCGGAGGAAATAAAAATTAAATAATAAAATTTTTGCGGTCGTATATTGGTATGAAGGCGGTGTCGTCATCCGAAAACACATTGGTTTTTTGCACAATAACTTTAGTTTAAGTGAATGGATCTCTATGAAATTTTACCATAAGATTCAATACCACAAAAGGAAGGTTGGGGGTTATGGTACCAACAGTTAAGGAATTAAGGGCCAAAAATAAGCATTTTTCTAGTTTCCAGACAATATCTTGTGAAACGGTGTATGGATCTCTCTGAAATTATACCACAATTTTCCATACCACAAAGGGATGGTTAGGATTTGCTTTGGGGGGTTATGGCTCAAACTGTTTAGGAATTAAGGGGAAAAAAGGGGGAAAACAAGGGTGTCCTGGTTAATGGACAAATACTTTAGTACAAAACATAATTTAAAGCAGTGTAAGCAGGGGTTAAAAAATTGTGTTACAGCTCCCTAGCCCAGGACTTGTTGGTAGCAGGATTTTACTAGCCCTGTTAGTAGAACTGCTAGCCAATCAAAACTGGCCTG